AGATTCTGTGAAATTCTTGACAGATATCAAGCTTGATGAAGTACTTTGCTTTATTTGATTAATTCATCAGCTCATTAATCAAGAGAAGGAATTATTAATTATATTTTAAGATTGCATTTAACTTTCAGAAATTAACACAGAAACACAGCTTTGCTTTATTATATATAATGAGAATTGATAATGTAAAGAGTGCAGTTATTAATATAATAAATTCTTTTTTTAAATTTATCTTTAAATACTTCTTGACAGTTTTCAGTTCTTTCATACTTGTTTTGTAAACTAATACTCAGTTTATATATCTGTTTAAATTCACTTTCAGTAGAAGATCAATTTTGTAGTTCACTCTCTTGCAGTGTGATGACAACTGATTCAAGATCTTCTTCAAAAACATATTATAAAATTACTTATAAATTTTTAAATACTTTTTATCAACATCTGTTTTCTTATCATCTTCATTCACTTTATTAATATTTTTTCACTTGTTATTTATTAGTCTGTTAACTTTCTGAAGTGAGATTACATGACAGCTACTAAATGACTTTCTCATGTGCTGACAGTATGCTGCTGCATCAATAAATACTATATTTACTAATTTGCATTATTGAGAGCATTGAATATTTTATTTTTCTGATGTTTTTTAAAGTAATTTTAATCTGTTTCAGATGTAAGTTTTACTGACAGAATTTTCTTTTATTTATCTGCATTTTTTTCAGCAGTTTTATTACTTATGTGTAATCTTAAATTTCATCAGTTTATCTCAGCAGTCTGCTTCTTCTTGATACTGTAAATTTGATTTAAATTATTATAGAATCTTTTATAATACTGACTTTAATATTACTGTCAATATAATACTCTTTACTGAAGATTTCTTAAGTTAGAGCAATCTTCAATCAGTCACATTCAAACAGATAGTATAATGTATTAATTATTTCTGTCTGATAATCAAGAGATGTTGTCTCAAATTAATAATCAGCATTGAGACATTCTTAAATTAATGACTGTTCAATCATAGATAAAAAAAGACAAGATAAGTAATGAATAATTTAGTATTTTTATTAAAATTTCTGATGCTGCACATCTTCAGTAATCTGTAAGTATTTTCACTGTAGATTCAGAACATATTCACTGCTAATTACATATTTAATAAAAATTAAACTGTTCACTTCAGTATTAATAAAAGAATTGATTAAAAATCACAACTGTATTTAATATTAATTTACTACATACAAAAAATAACTTTTCTTTTATTAAGTTGCTTAAATTCAGCTTCATTAATAATATTTTTCTGTCTAAAATGAAGACTTCTTCTAGACTTACTTTTTTTTTAATAATTAACTTTATTATTAAGTTCCAACTTCTGAATCTTCACAGCAGTCTTGTATTTGTATAAGTAATTATATATTATAAAATCAAGATCTTTGCAATTGTAGCACATAATTAATTTCAGTCAGTTTTTATTTTCAGAAGCAGAAGTTGTAATGCTCTTATAACTGAATATGAAACTTTTAACTTACAGTCTGATGTTATAAGTGACTGTTTTAGTAGAGTTTCAGCAGTTAATGACAGTCTGAATCTTCTTCAGAATATAAGCAGTGCACAAGCAGACTTTCTAAAATTCATTAAAGATTCTGATAGTAACATGAACAGCAGCTACTACTTTCTGCATTTTATAAAATAGCTTGTTTATAAAATCATTCTTATAATTTTTCTTAAATATTTCTGCTTCTTCTATTAAGTGCAGAAACTTGATAATAAATTTATAATAATTATTATTATTTCTCATAATCAGTTGACAGTAGTTATTTTATATATTGAGATACTTGTTCAGATTCTTATAAATCTTTTTTAAGTACTTAAACACTTTCTCTGTTGTTTGATAATACTTCAGATGTTCTTCTCACATATAAAGAAAAATATGATGTGTGATGTTTTTATTAGTTTAATTCTTAATATAGATAATCTTATTAATTTCAATAAGAAAGTAATCTGCATTCTCTTACAGCTTATTCTTTATTCTGAAAAGTTGATACTTAAATTTGAATTTCTTTTTATCAGTAAGATGCTTAAAGTTATCAATCTTAATTAATTAGTTTTTTCTGAATTCTGTTACTTAAACAGAAATATTTTCTTATTTCTGCATGTTCAGTAATACAATCACACATGCTTTTTTATATTAATCTTGTTTCTTCATCAGAGCAGCTACTTGTTCTTTTAAAACACTGCTCTGATTCTGAGCTTTTCTTTTAATTTATCTGCTGTGCACTCAAGTTTATGAATTATACTGCTGATTTTTTTATAAATCACTTGTGCATTCTGTTCTACAGTAGTATTGAAATACTCAAAAAAAATTCAGTTTATTTCATCTTCTTGTGAGTTTGAAGCTAGATTGATTTATCAATACAAAAAAAGATTCAACAGCTGATTCTTCAACAGTAATAAGTTCAGATTATTTGCAGATGTTGATATACTTAAAGTCATAATCAACACTGCTTGAAATCTTTTAATTAAAAGACTTCAAAAAGAACAAAGTAAGATGATATTTAATATTATAATATAATCTCAGACTAAATGTGAGGATAGAAGAAGAAGAATCTAATAAACTATTATATTAAATAAATTCAATTGAAAATACTAAAAATAATGAAGAAAAGAGAAGTTCAGAATAATTATATAATATATATTCTCTTATTCTAAGCTCTTGCTCTAAGTTCTACTAACAGCAGTTATCAGAAGAATCTGATGATCACATTACTTCAGATCTGACACTTCTTTACCACTCTGCATCAGATTTTAACACTCTGCAGACTTGCTTCTTTTCTCTTTAATTATGTAAATGCTTCTCTATATATTGATAGTTACTCTATCTATTTCACTACTGCCTTTGGTATTTATTCTTTAAATATATCACTTGTTCACTCTAGCTATTAGAATCCTGTTAGTGGGGCTGTCTGAATGCCTGTGGAGGTCTATATGATATTCAATTTCATTTAAGATATAACAATTCTCTAAAGAATCTAATATATATTCCAAAACACCAGCTAGTAGATAACTTACTAGCTACCTGAACAATGCAATGATCCAGAAACAACAGAATCATACAAAAAAGGCAATTAAGTTAGGAGCTTCAGATGGTTGAAATGAAGCAAGATGATTGGTTTCTCACTGCCAGCTGGCAGGGGGAGCCTGCCATTGGCACACTCAAATGAACTGCAAGAACTTTGCAATCCAAGAACTTCCTGTCTGGATCCTTAACTGTTGGAGCAACTGAAGCAGATGATTCTTGTTACTCACTCAATGAGACAGGGTTCAAGACCCTACCTACATAGCTAAATAGCTATATGGACAGAAGATCCCATTCTGTCGGATAAACTAAAGGCCGAGAGCGCCAAGCATATTTCGTGTGACTGCGTACAGAGTACTCAGTCCTAGTAGAGAGCAGTCATGAATTGGTATTGCCAATTCCCACCAACAGTAAGATATTTCATCTTCAGGTCTAAATAACTCTTGGGGACCGGGCAAGGTACTGGATTTACTGCGGTGCATGCGGCATGCCAGGAAAATATTTGGAAACCAGGTTTCTCAACAAACTCCGTCAGATCGCCGCTGGTTGGTCCAGGAGAGCTGGTCACCGTTTCTCAAACCAAGTTTTTGGGTGACAAGTTGAAATTTCGACGTTCCATGGAATCACAGAGCAGGCGGTCGAATATGAATAATGAAGGTGGTGAAGCCAGGCAGGAGATTGGAACAGCCAGCGCAGCCAACGAACGGTGAACCGTCGGTGTCATCCATCTTTCTGGTGTGCACCGCAAGACAAGCTCAAAGGGACAGGAACAGGAACTAATGCTCAGCCACAATTGCGATGGCATGCATGCTGTCAAGAAAATTGGCATCTCGAGGCTTGAGCGAAAAAGAAAAAGGAAAAAGCCGCGGGCGTTTTTTTTTCTTTTTTAAATGAAAAGGGGAGATCGACGCTGTCTTCCACCGTTTGCACCGGGTCTTTTGGAAGAGCCACATGTCTCCCAACGTAGGGATTGATTGGCGCAGATATCAGCGCAATCATTTGTTTCTTCGAACTCATCTTGTAGTTGACAGCCAGAAGTTGCCTCCCGAATCAAGGGTTCCTTGTGGGGGGAAATCGGAGTTTTGAGGTTCTCAGCCAGCCACGATGTGGACCACTCGATCGGTCTCGTAAGCGAAGAAGCGGGCCCTGCTCCTAGAGGCTTAAGCTTGGAGAAACGCAGAGAGAGAGATGACCATGGCGCCGATTGTCCGCTTGAGATTGTTTGTTGCGGACATGAAACATGCAAGTCGTATTGCCCTTACGCCTGCCCTGAATGACAGTCCTGGCAGTATGTTTCTCCGGGGATGCACCACGGTTTCGTCCCGTTCGGAACTGATCATTACAGCACAGCACCTTGCTGTTGCGCCGGCTGACGACTGAAAGAACCGGTTTCGTACCGCCACCGCCGTCCCTGTCACCGCCAAGACCAACCACCGGATGATCCGTCACGATACCGTACGATGCTGGTCCTTCCTGAGACATGTCGTCTGGGCGGTTGAACGAATCTTCAACGCTTCACCACTGCCGTCGTTGCTGGTTCATCTAGCACTTCCAGCGAGCATCGGTGTTCCTGTCGGGCTGGTTTTGCTGCTGATTCGCGGCTGATTTCTTTCTTTTCAGAGCGAGCATGGCCAGCGAGACGCGGCCTGGAACCAAATGACGTTTTCCCAGCGGAGGCATGGCATGCTGGCGCTTGGATGCTGATCCGTTGCCAGTCAACGTCCCCGGTTGAACCTGTCGTTCCCTCCACTCAGTCGTCGTTCCCATCGTGATGCTGTCGTTCGGTTGTCAATAGCGCCGTCTACAATTTGTCGCTTCTTTTTCTTTTCCTGCTTTCGTCTGGCAATCTGTATCACTGTCATTCGCTTCTGGAGGGCCTCGATTCCGTCATTCCGCACTAGCTTTCGCTGGCGTCAACTTTCCCTTCCGAGAGACTACCATGGCTGAAGAGGCCAAGAAGGTCAAACGCAGAAAGAGTTTTGGACTCCTGTTTGGTTCAACAGGGCTCTTGGGCTCCGATGGTTCCTCCGCCACTCCACGGCCAAAGTCGCACGGGCACACTCGATCCTCTCCGGATAATTTTCCTCAATGTAATGTCAATAATGGTAATAGTGGTGAGGATGAAGCCCTGCAGGGTAGCAATATAACCAGGCGCCGAAGGGGTAGTCGCCCGAGAAGTAGTGGCTCTCTGTTGGGCATCATCGGCCTCAAGGGCCATTATTCGGCCGCTGCTGGGGAGACTCTTGACATGGCGAAAACGGAGCACAGATATGCCAATCGCGGCAGGGTATTGTCAAATCCAGTGATGCTCAATGATCTCTCTGCGTCTGTAATCGACGGCGGCCTACGACATGCGCCGCTTGGTCCTATTCCACGGGCGAGGTCGAAATCTCTCCAGAAGTCAAAGCGGAATTCCATGTTTGCATCCTTGAGGTCGTTTGGGACACCGGCGGACGACGACCAAGCATCGATTAGAGCTCGCTCAAAAGAATCCTCCGAAGAGGATGATTTCGCCATGTTCCTGGGTTTTGGGTACAACAATAGATTGTCCTTGGGAACCCAGGTCCTCCATCACGGGGAGGTGCAGACGTCAGTGCCCATGTGGAGGAAAAAGAGCCAGTACCTCGTCCTGACCGACACCCATCTCGTTCGCTTCAAGAGCCGGTCAAAGGCAGCCGAAGCATTCCCCACGATACCCGCTCAATGGGGTCGAAACACAAACTCTACACTGACATCGAATCGACTATCTGTGGTTTCGCTTGCTTCGTTGCAGGATAGCCCATTGCCTGGAGGGGGGGAGGGTGGCAGCGGCATTGCGTTGAACAGGATACTTGCTCTGCACAAACTGGACGACGGACGGCCTTTCTTCTCGGTTGAAGTGTGTTACATGGAGGAGCGACCTTCGAAGATATCGTCACTGCAAATCCAGCTTACCGACCCTCTCGATGCAGAACTTTGGCGCTCAGGTATTCGAGATGCAGCCGCGGAGGCGAGGGCTGCTGACCCGGTACCGTTCGAAAGAGAGGCTGTTGAATATATCTCACGCGCCCTGGACCAGGAACGCGATTATGATCCTTATACAATGTCAATGCATCGTGTGGTCCGCCGAGTTCCTGTAAAACCGAGTGGCCGGTCCTCGGTTGACGACAATATCAAATTAGCCTCGACTCCGTGCTACTTGGTCGTAGGAGTCCATAAACTACATATTCTCCCGCTATACAAAGCGAGCAACCGTGCTTCGATGGTTTCCCTAAACGAACTAGACATGAGCCAGTCTTATGGGCTTTTGTCTTTGGCGGCGTTATATATGCAACGGGGCGACGATGGAATCCAATTGGTCTTCAGGTAAGCTCATTTACTCTGCGCAGCTCCAATCTCCCGTTTCGGGTGGGCGACCAAGACTTACGCTTTTTCAAGATTACCCTTCAAACCTCCAACACAATTACATCTGTCTTCTGCCTTTTCAGCCGAGATCGCGCTCCACATCCGGCAACGAGCTGAATTTCTGCGGCCCCAGTGGATCCAGCAACCGTATGTATTGAATGTCCCCCAGTGGCTTGAAGACCAATTCACTCCCCCTCCACCGAAATCGGAAGAAGACGACGGCTGTTTTGATCGTACTCTGACGGCATACTGCGCCGCGTATGATATCGATGCTTCGAATATTAGATATTCGATTGATTACGCCTGTGAGGATGCGCCGTGTTTCCAATTGCTTCCGCCGGAAGGTTCCAAGGATGGAAAAGGCTACAGTGCTTTTGAGCTGCTGGCAGTCATGAGAGCGTTGCGATATAATGAGTCTTTCGACACGATATCATTTGGAGGGGTTAATCTGGACGTGCTTCAGAGTTTGTACGATCCTTATGGGTTCGACCACGACGCGATGCAAACGCGGTCGAATGTTGCCCTTGATATCCCAGGGCAGGAGCAGATGTCCGTTTTGACACAAGAAATTCGGGCATTGGCTCTGAAAAGCAAAACGCTCAGACGAATGAATTTCGCGTTCTGCCTTACCCGCATCCCGACCACCGGAAAAGGTGAGGTCGACCCAGGATGCGGTATCCCGGAAGCAATCTTTCCATTATGTCGGCGACGGCTCACCAAAGTAGACTGGGTCGTGTTGAACGGGATCAAACTGGGGGACTCGGATCTGGATTATCTGATTGATGCTGCGTCCCAGAAGATGTCCCAACTCCGTGCTCTCGAGATAAGCCACTGTGGAATCTCTATCCACGACCTTGATTTAATTTTGTCTACACTAACGGCACAAGAAGCCACCCTCGAGGCGATTAATATCTCTGGAGTGCAAGGCCGATTGAGTGCAGAGTTGTTCCAACAACAAATTGGCTACTTCGCTCACATTCGCAAGATAAATTTATCACATATCTCGAGGAACACCGGTCCCGAGCCTCTTATTGCGCCGGAGACTCTGCTGAATTGGGAATTGGAGGAGTTGTCGTTGAGTCATACAGTTGTGAATGATAAGACTGTCGATTCAATTGCGGCGTACCTTGCAAGTGGAAAATCGAGCAAGTTGCGCGAGTTGAGACTTGATCAGTGCGGCCTAACGGGAAGGGATGTGGCCACATTTTCTTTACTTCATGGTTGACGAAAAGAGACAGCCGCGAAACATCCCATCTTCACGTCAGTGAGAACCGGCTCCACGTGGATTATTCCCTGTTATTCGAATCAATCACGCAAAATAAAACACCGACGCATCTTACGATGAGAATGATGGATTTTCAGAAAGAAGATCATTTTAGACAGTTGATTGAAGCAATGAGGAAAAACGTATCTTTGAAATACCTTGATATCTCCAAGGCTTCTCTCCCATATGATGCCGGTCCTGAGACCTGCAAAGCGTTGCAGATGATGTTTGAGGATAACACAACAATGGAAGAGCTGGATATAAGTGGGGAGTATGCACATCTCGACGTTGCGCGGTTTGGGATTGGGTTGAATCTCGCATTGACTGGCCTGAAGAAGAACAAGACCCTCAAAGTACTAAGGATTGAGCATCAGAAACTAGGGCTGCAGGGCGCCAATACCCTCGCCTCAGTGCTAGAGGCGAATGATTCACTCCTCGAAGTATATTGCGAGAACAATGAAATCAACTTGCAGTCGTTTACCGTCTTGATAAACGGATTGCAGAGGAACAAAACGCTCCTCCATCTTCCGTGCATGTCTCGGGATCGAGAGCAGACAATGGACAAAGTTCGCCGAGAGATCCAATCTGTCAATAAAGAACCGAAACGGAGAAATTCCAACGTTTCCACTGCTGGGTCAATCCGTCGGACGATCCAGGCCGCCGTGAACGGCGCTGGCGTGAGCGGCACAAAGTTGACCAAACCGAATAAAAACCGCCAGAGCAGTGCGCATCCGACACTACCATCTCCGCTTCCTTTGGCTCCACCAGCAGCTTCGGAGCTCGGGAGCCCTCAGGTGCAGGCAATTCTTCAATCCTTGGGCCAAAAGTGGGACCTCGAGGTTGAGCGTCTACAGCGTTACCTCTACCGGAATTATACCCTTCGAGACGGCGCCACGCAACAAACTGGCGAGAACGGGAATGGAGCTGCTGATTGGGATTCACTCAGTGATGGTCGCCCCAGGACAGCAACTAGTTTAAGCACGTTTCTTGACCAGTTTTCTTTCGAAACCAACCAGGAACGGCTCTTTTTAGACGGGGACGCCGAGCGCAAGAGGCACCACGACGAAGCGAATGGGATTACTCTCCTCAGACCTCCGCCGGCTCCAAGAAAACTGTCCGACATCATGTCCATTCCATCGCCTGATCCTGAAGAACTCATAAACCCCCCTCGTGCCTTTACGTTTTCCACAGATCCAGACACAACAGATACAACCCACACCCTCGCTGCTCCTATTCCCGCCCATCCGCGCCCAACGGCCATACGCACAGAAACAAGTTCGAGTTTGCTTAGCGGAATATCTAGCAACGCGAGCCTCAACACGAGTAGCGCTTCGGCAACGACCACCCACAGACCAGGCAGCACCTCGAAAGTACCCAGCGCCTCGTCGTCGCTGCGGGGTATACTGAGCCCGCGAACGCAGGCGGACAGAGTTATGGCGAAGAACAAAGCGGGGAATCGAGTCTCGGTGACGTTTGCGCAAGCGCCGCGGTTGGAGTTGGATCTACCGAGTTTGGATCTATCTTGACTTTTTTATATTTTTCTAAGCGGGCTTCGATTTTTTTGCTTTTCTCGCGTCCTTGCTTGCTATTACGGGCGGCACAGTTATGGAGTCAGGAAAGCATTTATGTTGGTAGTTTCTGGTCGGTTTTAGCGCGGTATTTTGGACGAAAATCTCTTGGGATATATATTTGTGGTTTGGGATACAGGGGCGGCTGGCTGGGATTCCCTCGAATGCATGATCTGGGATATTATCTGGGTATATGTACTGCACGATTTGGAAAATTCGGCATCAACTGTACGTGGGGACGGCATGTTGGGTTTAACTATGTTTTTGGAATAATTATAATCAACGTGATCCTGAGAAAAATCAGAGATATATATATTCCCGTCTCTTTGGGAGTATCGCATGGTGCAGATCAGCACGATGGACACGAGTCCTGTGTACCTCTCCGAGATTTGCAAGTCTATCAAAATATGCAAGGCGTTTATCATGGCTTTTTCCTTTCACATGTCGTACAACATCAGGGACGCATCATTCATCTTATTTCTTTTTCTTTTTCTTTCCCCTTCATTCCTCACAGCACCCCCTTCGTGCTCACCACCTCCCCGCCCCCGCCCACCTCACCCACCGCCCTCCTCGCCGTCGCCCCGGGCACCGCCACCGCCATCGCCTTGATCGCACTCTCCGCCCGATGATGATCGATGCTCCCCTACGCACCAGCTCACATGCAACGTCACCCCCGCCGCCTGCGCAAAGCTCTCCAGACCATGCGAGATCATCTCCGTGCTCAGCGCCCCGACCTTCTCGCGCTGCAGGCCCAGATTGATCACGCTGTAGGGTCGCGAGGATATGTCGATCACCGCCCAGGAGAGGGCCTCGTCGAGCGGGGCGTCGCCCCGCGCAAAGCGGACGAGGGAGACCGCGAGGGCCAAGGCGCGGGTGAAGCGGTGCCCAGGGCGAGGAAGGGTCTTCGGTAGTGTGGGGGTCGTCGACTGGAGGAGGATTAGCTTTTTCCTGTCTGGGATCCAAACCGGGGGGGGGGGGGGGGGGGGG